TATGTGTATCCTGCCATGTTAAAAGAATGAAGAAAAACTTAAGAAAATAATAATTTATAATGTCATACTCTGAGAGTGACAGTCAAACAAAATAAATAAACAAAGCGCGCTTCGATACAACAAAGCAAGATGGCCAGTTGTTTTTAAAAGATTTTTTCGCAAAGGGAACAATTATAACTTCCAAAAATATATTTATAAGATATATATTTATACTTGTAAAAACTATATTTATATTTATATTGTAAAAACTAATGAATGACTCCTCTTCAAAAGATGTATTTTAATAGTTTTGTACCATAAAAAAAAAAAACATTCTGAGAAAAAATATGCTTTGAATTTAAGAAGGGCAATTTTCGAAAAAGGAGAAATCCTTCTCAACTTGTTATTTCAATAAAGAAAGGTTCACCAGAGCTATCTAGAATTTTCAGCTCTCTATGCTTAATTAATAGTATCAATATTTAAAAAAAAAACACACACACAGTAGTAATGGCAAAAATGTTATTTTTAATTTAATAAATTTTTAAAAAAATCCGAATTATAGAAAAGTGACGAAATGACCTCTACAATTAGAACATGTAACTACGAGGTTGGGCGAACGTGGTTGAAAACTGTAATTTCAATCTTACAAGAATATAAATTCAATTACTTTTAAAATCACCATGCAGAGTACAAAATAATTTAGCACTCTACAAGAGTTATAAACTCACACTAGATTGAGTGTTCAGAATTTCCAATAGAAAATTTAAACCCTGGATCACTTGCCAGAATGAAGACTGAAGAGCCAGATGGAAAGGAAACACACTACTTGCTCAACCAGTGATGAGCCATACCACTTTTCAGAGGGTGCACTTTGGATCTGTGAAGATGAAACAAGGGCTGAAGGCTTCACGTGTATGTAGACCTCCTCTATCAATATTCCTGTTTATTATAGATGAAGCATTACTTATGAATATAGCACATTCCTCTTTTTTTTAATATAAATATAATTAAATCTTAAAATACTTTAACAGAAAATATTTTGGAGGTACAGAATATATCTAGGAAACGATTTTGATATATGTTAGTGTTTATTATCAGCCAAAATAATTTATAATAACATTTTTTTATATAGCAAAGGAGGAGTACGCGCTCCAAGAAGCTAGATTAATCAAATATAATAGAAAAAGAATATAGTGGAGGCTTGCAACGCTGGCAAAAAGGGGCGATAAAAAAATACATTCTGACAGGAGAACAGTAGAGTTGGAAAGCGGATAAAAGGAAGCTTGATTCTAATGCTGCACATGACTGGTACAAAGCAGGAGGGACAAGCACAGGTTCTGTCCTCCCAAGAGAACAACAGTCTTTGATTTCCAGACTTAAGTCTGGTCATCTACGGACAATGACTTTCCAGAATAGTTGCAAGGTTTTCCTACTATGTACTAAGTACAATTCTCAACCTGCAACCCCAAAACACATTATTGACTGTATTGACTCATCCATTGATGAGCTCTACTCATCCCCAGCAGACACCATCAAAAGTGTCACGCTGTACAAGCTTGATACCCTAATATGGAGGTGGAGTGGAGATAAGAAAGAAGAAGAAGAGAAGAAGCTTGAGGCCGCGATAGCTCTTCCGCGTTTCTGGGATGGATGGAGGCGAGGTATTTCAACAACTTAAAGTGACTAGGTGAGTAAAAAATGTTTTGTTTCAAAAGTAATTACTTAAACAAATATAAATATATAAATCTATCGATATATAAGATAAAATAATGTATTAAAGAATCTTTTCTGATAAATTATGTTTAAAAATAATTAATTTAATTTAAAATAGCACGGGATAGTTGCTTCGAACATCTTGCAGAGAGAGAGAGAGTAACAGACTATATAAAATAAATATAGTAATTCAATTACTTAAACTAAATTAAAGGTTACGTTGAGAGCTTTATAGAGAGCTGTGGCCTCACAGCTATAATGATCATTCCTGGGCAAGAGCTTCGATAACAACTACATTTTGCTCCTCTTGTCCAAATGAGCTGTAGTATGGTTTCACCCTTAAGATATGCACGAGATCCTTGGTTCTCTAACCGCTTCCCTGCGCTCCTAAAGGTTAAAATATATAGGTCACATCTGATAATTTCTTGTTAACTTTGCAGGGACCGAAGTATCGCTTCATAAGTTTTTCGCAAAGTCATACACATCGTCCTAGAATGTAGATCCGTAACAAATCTATAAAGCCAGTTGATTCCTGTTTTTGGGATATTGTGATCGAGAGTTATGAAGGGCAAGAGTTGCTAATTCCAATTATTCTGTTCGAAGTCTACATATATAGACAGCATATCCGCTTTGGTTCTGTTTAGCCGCTCTGTTAATCCATTGGTTTGGGAATGCTATGCCATAGTGGTACGCCATAATTCCGCAAAAAACAGCAGGTCAATTCCTTGATAAACTTGGACTGGAAGTTGTGGCCCCGGTCCATCAATTTCTCTAGAGGCTCTGTGTACCAAAAATTGTTTCCTAGATATATTCTGTACCCCCAAAATATTTTCTGTTATAGCATTTCAAGATTTAATCATAATTATATATTTGAAAAAAAAATGAATGTTCTGTATTCATACGTAATGCTTCATCTATAACAACAGGAATATTGATAGAGGAGGTCTACATTACACGTGAAGCCTTCAGCCCTTGTTTCATCTTCACAGATCCAAAGTGCACCCTCTGAAAAGCGGTATGGCTCATCACTGGTTGAGCAAGTATTCGCGACTTCCTGAGCTTCTTTGGATACTAAACTTTCTGTGATCGCGTATTTGAATAAATATTTGGTACACACTAAATCACTGAAAAAATCTTTGTCATCACAATATTATTTTTAATTAAATAATTCGATAATTTTATAAAAATATTTTCTAATTTTCCGAAGTTTTTTTTTTTTTTAAGGTTGCCAAGCTTCTTCCCAACAATGGCAGTTATTTTATTGCTTAGCTCAAATGGTGGAAGAGCATTGGCATTTTGTGGAATGACTTAAAATATAAATAAATTAAATATTCATTTCAGCTTGAAATGGAATGATGGAAGCAACTGCAAACCTAATTTATAATCGAAATATGAATTGATCAATTACGCACTGGATACTGAAGTAAACTATTTATCAAACGCATGCTCGATATGAAATCAATTTATGAACTGGTCCAAAAGGCGCACTATATATGAAATCGATCTGTTATATTCCAAAGCCTACTGGATATCGAATCAATTAATGAAACGCGCACTCTAAATTTGATATCACAAAATTTTGAAATTAATAAAACGCCCGCTGAATATGTAATTAATCTTTTTTAACACACTGGGTATAGAATCAATACCATCAATTGTCCAAACGCGCATTGTATATATAGAATCAATCTATGAATTAATCTACAATTGAATTGATCAGACTCTCTCTAGGCTCCTGATAGGTAAGTTTGTAATTTTTTTTCTTAAAATTGATCACATATATTATACAACAACAACAAAAGCTTCATTAAGACATTTTGGTCTTATACAGATTCTCCAAGTAGAAGAGGGTATATACAGAAATAACAGTAATAGTAACAATAATCAGCAATGTGTCAAATAAGAAGAGAGAAGCAAAGAAAGGGCTTGGCATAAACTTATAAACAAGCAATCGGAGGCAAGCAGTTAGTTTTCTTGAAAAAACAATAATTAATAATTGATGAAAATTTATTAATCACATATATTCACGCTCAATGATAAGTAACAATAATATAAAATTACATGATGAATACTGTTAAGAATTAGATTATATATATATCTGTGAATATTTATTTGTTATTAATCTTTTTATTCTGTGGCTAGATCCATTGTTAATACTGCCTATTTTGCATAATTTTGTTTGTAAAATAAGTTATTCTGTTTTAATTCTTTTGACCACGAGCCAAGGTGTATAAATAGTTTTGTTGTTTAAATAAAGTGTGTACTCCGCGACAAGACTATTCTCGCAATCTCAAAAATCATCAAATCCAACTATACAAAAAATTGTAGCAAATATTGCGAGATTTATTTATTACTGAAAAGTGTCAATATTCAAATAATGATTAGACTACTTAACAGTTGTTATGATTATTTTGTTTTGTTGTTGAAAAAGATAGAGAATTGAAGGTGCAGTCGTGAAAATAGGAATTATAATTTTTTACCCATCAAGTTTTTATTTTGAATTACTTGAAGCAAATTAAAATTATTTTTCACAGTAATATAGAATTTATAAATGAATCCTAAATTCGTGAATTTAAAAAAAGGTAGGTCAACTATACACACCTACAATATTCAAAGTGGTATCTTCTAAATCTATAGTCAAAAATGTAGAACAGTCAATGATGAAAATAAAATACATGTTTTAAAACAATGAAATATTTGCATTTTAGATTATATATTATACACCTATCCCCCGATTTACACGGTACTTTTTTTACACGTTTTCGCTTTTACACGGTTTTCCAAATAAGTTTTTTTTGTTGTTGTTGTTTTTATCGCACTATACTAAATGCTACTGTGATTGAACACATGCGCTGTGTACACATCTCACGAGGAATCCCGAGCTTATGTGCTGACTACATATTTTAACCTGTCAATGCATTTTATTTTTATTTCTGTGTACACCTATCCCCCGATTTACACGTTTTTCTCAGGAACGTATCTACCGTGTAAATCGGGGGATAGGTGTATTTATTTTTTATTAACTTTAAAATTGTATCGAAACCTCTGAATTGTTTGCTATGTAGATATTTGGATCTATATTCTTATTCTGAAATTTCCTATAGTTGCACCTATAGGTAGAACCAGACATCCTGCTGTGAGGGCAGTTTGTTATCGGCAGTCCACTCTCTTCAGGAGAAGGAGCTCGAGGAACAGGTAGAAAAAATTCAAACCATTAAACATTATATCAAGAATGTTTCTTTTATACATAAAAGATTATTATTGAAACGTGTAAGGAACAAATAAATAAATACATTTGTAAAACGACGTCCAGGGTAGCCTAGTGGACATGGCATCTGCCCGGTAAGCGGAACACTGTGGATTCGATTCCCATCCCTGGACACTTTTATTTTTTCGTTTATCATTACTCTTCACAATTCATCCTTCCATACCTCATCCATAAGGTTAGAAATAATCGTTATTTCTCCTTAAAATAAATTTTGATTTTTCGTTGAAAAGAAACACATGCGGGATAATTTTCAAATGTCGTTTTACAATCACAAGTCGCATTATATTGCATTAAAAATAAATAAATGTCTAATTTTGCTAAAACAATATTTACAGACTTGTTTTGTGATTTTGTAATAGATCATATATTGAATCAAATTGTCCAAAACACTCCACCAAAAGTATCGTTCTTGTTTCTTAACAAGTAGTTAGTGTGAGCTTTGATAAAGAATTAACTTAAATATGGAAAGTTTATCTCGGATTTTTAGCTAGATAAGAAATCGCACATGTTTCGTTGAATTTAGAATTGTAGTTGAAGTGTGTGTGTCTTGGTATGCATATTTCTGTTATAAAAGGCATGTTTTATAATAGTAATTTAATTATATGTTTTCCCCAATTGTAAAGAAATTCAGACCTCCCAAGAAACAACAGTCTTTGATTTCCAGACTTAAGTCTGGTCATCTAAGGACAATGACTTTCCAGAATGGTTGAAAAGTTTCCCCACTATGTACTAAGTGTAATTCTCAACCTGCAACCCCAAAACACATTATTGACTGTATTGACTTATTCATTGATGAGCTCTACTCATTCCGACAGACACCATAAAAAGTCTCAAGCTTTATTAGCTTGATACCTTAAATGACCCCCTCCTTGTCTGGAGGAGGACTCTCTCAAGGTGGGGAAACCTTCCTTGCTGAAGACATTTGTACACAACTATATATATATTCCCCTACACTTTATCTACCCTTTTACTATATTTTTCCACCTTTGTAAAATTTGATTAAAAGAATCAATAAAATTGTTTAAATTGTCAATCGATACCTTAATATGATTGAGTGGAGATAAGAAAGAAGTAAAGACATTCTCTGGAAGTCCCAGTAAGTGTAGAAGTTATCCACAAACAAGCCGAAAATAGCAGTTGGCAGATGTGACTAGAAGGGGAGGGAATGTCAACAAGTAAATTGGGGGACAAGATGTTTCAGAGATAACATGAGACGGGTCAACGAGGCAATATATTATCTACACATTTGTATTTTCAGTGTTTTTTACCAACATTGAAAAGTTTCCTTTTTAACCATTCGAATATATACAGGCACTCTTCCAATACTGCAATTTCTAGTAATTTACCAAGGGTATGTGTTTTTTTTTTTTACTCCGCCATTGCCGGTCCCAAGCCCGGATGTAAAAGGAGGAAGGGGAGCAGTATCAAGCTCGTTAAAAAACACAACAGGTTTCAGTTGGCCCGACTGATAGCACCCTGCAATCCTTGGGTTACAGGATAATCAGCAGTGTCTGTTTTCCATGTTAGAGGCGGCCATTCCTCCTTTTACATCCGGGCTTGGGACCGGCAATGGCGGAGTAAAAAAAAAAAACACATACCCTTGGTAAATTACTAGAAATTGCAGTATTGGAAGAGTGCCTGTATATATTCGAATGGTTAAAAAGGAAACTTTTCAATGTTGGTAAAAAACACTGAAAATACAAATGGGTAGATAATATATTGCCTCGTTGACCCGTCTCATGTTATCTCTGAAACATCTTGTCCCCCAATTTACTTGTTGACATTCCCTCCCCTTCTAGTCACATCTGCCAACTGCTATTTTCGGCTTGTTTGTGGATAACTTCTACACTTACTGGGACTTCCAGAGAATGTCTTTACTTCTTTCTTATCTCCAATCAATCATATTAAGGTATCGATTGACAATTTAAACAATTTTATTGATTCTTTTAATCAAATTTTACAAAGGTGGAAAAATATAGTCAAAGTCCAAATTACACCTCTCTGTAGGTGACCTCGGGGAAATGTTGGATAAAACCAGCGCTTTAACGTAACTGGCATATAACCTATATGGAGTCGTGCACAAGGGTATATGTTTCTGTGTTGACCTTTCCTTTTGGATAATTTTGAAGCTTTTTTGGTCGCTGAAATACAGCTTGCACCACGCTGATGAAAGCCAAAAGCCCGAAATGCGTACATGGTTTAGCTTTTCTTGATTAATCAAGAAATAGTATTTGGTCAATTATAGAATAATTAGAAATCAATAATTAGTTAATGATTCGCACTGATGGCGAAAGTCATCAGTAACTTTTAGTTGCAAGATCAGGAGATGCCTTTTTTTTCCTTGAATTATTCACCTGATACCAGTACAATGTATATAATTCAACTATTTAGATAACAATTAACATCGATCTTCAAATTAAAGATACTTCGGCCAGTAAATCTTTTTATTATCTCCTTCCAGCCGGGCAACCTCTATTTTTAAGAAGAGATAATAAAAAGATTTACTGACCGAAGTATCTTTAGTTTGAAGAGCTATGAATGCTGGCCAGGCAGCCTAAGAAGAGATAATATAAAGATTTACTGGCTGAAGTATCTTTAGTTTGAAGAGCTATGAATGCTGGCCAGGCAGCCTCTATTTTTAAGAAGAGGTAATATAAAGATTTACTGGCTGAAGTATCTTTAGTTTGAAGAGCTATGAATGCTGGCCAGGCAGCCTCTATTTTTAAAAAGAGGTAATATAAAGATTTACTGGCTGAAGTATCTTTAGTTTGAAGAGCTATGAATGCTGGCCAGGCAGCCTAAGAAGAGGTAATATAAAGATTTACTGGCTGAAGTATCTTTAGTTTGAAGAGCTATGAATGCTGGCCAGGCAGCCTCTATTTTTACGATAATTAACATAATGTGTTAAAGCTTGGCTGTCATTTCAAAAATAGCAACAAAAGACATCTCCTTTATATACCTGGCACCGTTAAAATGTTCTTTTTTTAAGGTATATTTGGATGTACAAATCGATAAAACTCTTCTGAAAATATTATAAGAATGAAGATAATTTAAGGAAAATATTGTGAATAGATAAATCAAAAATTGTTAATAAATACCTCCGATTAATGATAACAAAATCCCAACAAAAAAATGGAATTTTGTGTAACACACACCTTTTTAGGTTATCGGCTCTTTAAAAAGCATATTGGCATAAATACACTCAGGGTCAAAACGTAAGGAAATTGTATCTATTAGCATGTATATCGGGATTCAGACAATAACTCTTAAAGATGTTTGATAACAGGGACCTTTATTGAAGACACGCGAGATAACCAAGTATGGACAATATTGCATCTGTCTCCTTAAAAAAAAAAAAAAAACCTGACCGGAGACATTAGTCATTCCACTCCCTTAAGTTTTGTCCACAACCACTCTCTAGATATTTTACTTCATCTGTTCTGAATTGAAAGATTTAGATGAGGAAGAAAACCTTTCTGAGAGAACTCGGCGTTAACATTTTATCAGGCGGAGGATTGTTTAAAAAAAAACTCCACGTTGTTCCAATGTGTTTCTTTAATCTAATCTGCCCGTCAACAGGTTTTGGAGCAATGTTATACTCTTTATCGCCTGCTTATAGGTTCAAACCCATCAGGCAGATTTCAAACGTGTATTGAATAGCTGATTTTTAAACCTTCGTCCACTTATCGTAAAGATAGAGGCTGCCTGGCCGGCATTCATATTTCTTCAAATAAAAGATACTTCGGCCAGTGAATCTTTTTATTGTCTCGACGTTTCGACAAAAATCTTTTGTCCTCGTCAGGAGTGAACAAAAATTAAAACATTAGGCAAAGCGTTAGAAATTATTCTAAGGCTGCAAGGGCGTTCTCACGCGATATTCGAAATTTTGTACAACATCTAAAGCACGAGTCAAAAACAAATATTTAACTCACAAAAGACTATGATCTTTTAAATAAATTATTTAAATATTTATAATGAGAAATTATAAAACAAAAATAAATATAAAAAATCAAATAATATTTACAAAGATTTTACAATAGTAAAAATAAATCTATTTCTATTATGTACAATATATACCTACCATTTTAACTAATCTTTAAATTTAAAAACGAATTGTACTGTTGCGGAATATCTTCAAATATATTTATAGATCTTTTCCCCATTTCCCGTGATACCCATCCCTCTAAAAATAATCTTTCTTTTTTAAATTTTATATTCCTATGAAATAATTATCTTGAATTAAGTTGAGTTGAACATTTTATGTTGGACATGGCTGACTTACCATGATCTCCCTTCTGTGGCCTGGACCCAAGACATGGGCCACTATGACGTCCTCCCCCAGTTTGGCCTGGCACCGGCTGCAGTAGTACAGCCTGGGATCATGGGACGACGTGTAGAACTCCTGGACGAAGTCAAGTCCTGGGACACAGCACATTACCTCAAAGAAGAAGAAAAGGAGCTAAACCAACTTGAAAAAAAAAAAAACAACACTATTATTCGCTATAAAAATTCCCCAACAATATATGAATAACTTTCACATGTTATTCATTGTTGCAAATATCATAGGTTGCTCTTTTTAAACGGTATCTAATAAAGTGATTTTGGAAAAAAATGCCCTAAGAATATTAAACCATTTGAATAACTAAAGGAGAATCATTTTTAACACCTTGCCAAATGATTAATTTTTCCTGACGAGGACAAAAAGATTTTGTCTGAATGTCATGAAATTAAAATATTTTCTGACCAAAGTGTCTCTTATTTAAGAAATATAAATGCCGGCCAGAGATATCTTCAAGAAAAAAGAGGGTGGATGTTAAAACTTTACCTTTATGAACACTAGGCGGGTTAGTGCGTTAGTTTTACTGATCCTACTTTATTTTCCCGTATATAGCGCTAGTCTACAGTTACCTACGATACTAGAACAATATGTTATTTCGAAAAGTTTTACAGAATTACACTATTTCTATGCAAGGTGATATTTTAATTAAAGTTTCAAGAGCCACCACAATCATAACGACAGGGCAAACAGTAAACAAGAAAATAAAATCTGATCATATATCTAACACAGTAGATATTTTTATTTAATAAAAACTTTGCTGAAGATTTTTGGAAT